ACATAGTTCGAAAAGAAATAAAAGAGGTTTTTTTTTCTCTCTTTTACCTTGCTTTCGGTTCATTCGTTGCCTTGCATGTGTGTCGTTCATGCTCTTTCTTTGTTGGTTCGAAACAAGAAGCCAATGACAGAGGAGGTGGGGATTTTTTCGAATATCCGTTCGTAGATCCACTCTCCTCGAGGCTTGATCTAAAATAACTATGGATATTTTTGGAACGAGTGTACGAAGAGCTTTCAAAAAAACGAAAACTTTTTACATTTTGCCGCCGGAGAGCGGCGGTCGGCGCCGACAACGGCGGCCGGAATCTGGGACGTTACAGAGGAACATTGAGAGAATGAGAAGGCTCTCTCGGTGTGAAGAAGAGAAAATGAAACTAAAAAAACATTTGATCCATGTTTATATCAGATTCGTGCTTTTTGTAATAAATTAGGGTAAACACGCTTTTGGTCCCTCCGATTTTAAAATTCTGTTATTTTGATCCCCAAATCCGGTTCTCAAACTCCAATATTATTCTAATTCGACCACTCAATTCGTTTTACTTTCAATTTGGTCCCTGTTAAATTCAATTCGTATTTTTTAAATTTTTTTTTATATATTACGTTTTATTATATATATATATATATATATATTATTGTTATTATTATTATATGTATATATATATATGTATATATCTACTTATTTCTTTTTATACTCTTTTACCATTTTTATTTTTATTATTATTATTCTTTATATTATCCTTATTATTTCTATTATTACTATTTTTTTACTTATTTATGTATGTATATATATATATATATATATATATACGTTTTTTAATTTTCTTTATTCGTTTTCTTTATTTATTATTATATATATTTTTTTTTAGGTATTTTATTTATATATATTTTACCTATTATTTTTGTTTAACTAATAGTATATATATATATATATATATATATATATATATATATATATATTACATGTTTTATTAAAGACTCTATTATATATACATCACCTCACATTTATTAGCTAGGGTCCACTTTCTTTTTTTTTTTTTTTCCTTTCTTCCCGTTATTCATGCTTCACCAAACTTAGACTTATTTTTTTTCGGTGGGATTATTTTCAATTTTTTTTTTTACTATTTATTACTATTATCATTATTATTTTTACCTAATAACTATATATTAGTATTCTTTTCATATTTTATTATGTTATTACTATTTTTATTTTACTTAATATTTGTATTTTCATTTTTCATTTTCATTTGGTTTTTCTAATTTGTTTATTTGTTTATTTTATTTGTTTATTATCTTATTTTATTTTTTTGTTTGTTTTATCTTTTTTATTTATTTTTTTAAGTCATTTATTTACCATTTCTTTCTTCTGTTTTATTTTGGGTTTGTTTATTTTATTCATTTATTCCTTACTTTTCATCTAACATTTTATGATTTTCTTTAAAAGGCATGATTTAAATCCGTCAAAGGTAAGTTTTGGATCGCTATTTTACCTTTTAATTTAAAATGCAATTTTCTTAATCAAAGACAACTGGAAAGTGCGTAGTACCGAAAGGACGGTTCAAGGGTGCTAATCCTTCCTTAACCGTAACCGACTCCCGAACCTGACACATCTTTGGAAAGACGTAGATCAGGTAATAAATAGGGTATCCGATCAACCCATTTATTTTTAAGTAAATGATCGGTGGCGACTCCAATCTACATTTTTCAAGTCGAAGCCCAATTCTGGGGCCCAACCGAAAGACGGTTGCGACACTTAGGAGTTTACTTATGTAATAAAACATCGTTTTCCCACTGTCCTACACCTTTGTTTTTATCACTTTTGCTTTCTGTATTTAGGGTTTGGTGACCACCGTCACCACTACTTGCAAACAGTTACGCTGAGCGAGGGTTAAACAAAGGGAAGTCTCTTCTAAATTTTCATCATATTTTAATCTCAATCATTTATTTAAATTTATAGATACATTTGAAAACAATTTATATGTACAAAGAGCCATCCTCATTTTGTTATGAGTTTAAAAATATTCAACCAACAATCGTATTTAATTTAAAGGTTATAGATAATTAAAGGATTGAATATGTTGATAAATATATTTAATATAATAAAACTTGAAATAAGATTAAGGGTGTGTTTGTTTGCCGTATTTGGAATTACGGAATTGATTTTCCCCGAATTACCGTGTTTGTTTCACATAATTCGTTTTCCGGAAAATGTTTTCCTGTGTTTGTTTCACGTAATTCGTTTTCCGGAAAATGTTTTTCCGTGTTTGTTTCACGTAATTGGTTTTTCGGAACGTAATTCATTTTCCTAGTAATAGAATTTCCTTATTGTTTTCTGTAAAATGACTTACTGATTCATTTTCCGTAAGTCATTTTACGAACTTTTCACTTCAAAGAATAAATACTCAAAATAATTTTATTTTATGAATTTAATATTAATAAAATATTTTAATATCATTTTCATCAAAATATTATTTATTTATTAATATTTATAATAATTATATTTTTAATATTATATAAAATAATCAATTATATTATAATAATATAAGATATTATATTTTTATTTTAATAATATATAATAAAAATTTTATATATTTAATAATGAATAATATTATTTATATATATTTAAATAATATTTTAATAAATATATTTAAAATGTACTAATTAATATTTTTAAAATATAATATAACACTATTACTTTAATAAATAATTTATAATATTTATAATATTTTATTTCACTAAAATATACAAAATTTTTTATTTTTAATAATAAAAAAGTTTTATGATAAATAATATTATTTATTGTATTTAATATTTGTAATAAATAATTTTAAAAAAACTCTTCAACTAGTGGAAAAAAGGTTTAAATAACATCTTCCAAACATCATAAAACGTTTTCCATATGTTTTTCAGAAAAATGTAATTCATTTTACGGAAAACATTTTCTGGAAAACGTTTTCCAGAAATGTGATTCATTTTTCAGAATTCAAATTCCAGTAATTCATTTTCCAGTAATTCAAATTCCAGTAATTCATTTTCAGGAAAACCAATTACAACCAAACAAACAGACCCTAAAATTCATTATAGAGAAAATAACTATCAAAATAGATTCAATTTGGATAGCAAACAACAATCGTATTCATTAAAGGTTAACCTTTGATAGTTCAGTTTTATCCCTATGACACAGTTATGTTCATGGATAGACGTATGATTTTATGTTAAGATACAAATTTCAATTTGTATAATTCAAAGAGAGCGAAAATATAATTTCAATAAAAAAATATATAAAAATCTAAAATATATAATAATTATAAATTTTTATACATCGCTGTTGATGGTGAGAGATTTAACTTGTGTTTGCAATAAAATCATGTTTTTTTTATCACGTCTAATAAGCCCAACATAAATACTATTTTACCATTTCAACCCAAAATCCAATATTTGAAATGATGTTTTCATTATTATTATTTTTAATTCGCTATATGATTTTTCATTTAAAAATGCTTGTCTTAACAAAAATGGCATCCAAAGAGAAATGTTTATTTTTTGTTTTATGCCGACTTTACCAAATATTGGTCACGTGACTTGATGATTATTATTCGATACTATAACAGTAGTATTTTAATTCTTCAAATAGATTAATCAATTCTTATTATCTTATTTATTTTAAAATAGTAATTAAGAAAAACATAATTAATTTCATTACATGTCAAATAGAGTAAACTATAAAGTTAGCCACTAAACTTAGGTTATATGTAATTGTTAACACTAAATTTTTAAACACTTTAAAACAAGTACTAAACTTTAAATTTAAATTTAAATTTAATTACAACATCATGTCATTAAATTCAAGACAATGCAATGTTGTATATAATCTCATCACATTGTTAATGATTTAACGGTTTAATATTTTTAATTGAGTTTAAAATCAAAGTGTATTGTTAACATTGAAACATTTTAAAATTATGGTAAAATACATAAATGATCCCCCGACTATATGATGTTACTTTGTTGAGTTATTCAACTATTAAAAGTTACAAAATAGTCACCTGACTATTCATTACGTTCAAAACTTATTCTTTTTCGTTAAAAGAAATTAACTACAATCTAAGTTGAATGTTAATATAGTGTTTGAGATATGATAATCATTTGAGATTCTAAGATTAAATTTTATCATATCTTAAACAACATATTAACATCCAACTCAAACTCTCGTCAACTTTAATAAAAGGGATGAATTTAGATCATAATGAATAGTTGGATGACTGTTTTGTAACTTTTAATAGTTGGTGACTCAACAAAGCAATATATTATATTCGTAAGACCATTTAATAATTTTTTATAGCCAAAGAATTTAATAAAGCAACACCATATAGTCAATGGACCATTTATATATTTCACCCTTAAAGTTAAGTGTTAAAATTAATATAAAATTTTAATTTGCTTATTAGATATACTTAATTACTCATTGTTCAATCATTATGGGCGTTCCTTAAATAAGAAAGACAAGCATTCAGCAGCGAGTACTCCGTTGGCATTTTTGAATCATTAGTTAGAAGTAGACACTGCAATACATTATTCATTACTGTTTAGTCAGTACTCAGTAATTTGCTTAATCCTCATGACGTTTAGAATAGAAGTTGGGTATAATTTTAATTTTGCAAAGATAGATTATGACGTTGAGAGAAAATTTATTTATTATCATTTGCTCCAAACTCTTGTCATAATTTCTTGAAATACTTGTAGTTTTTAATGTATTAAATAAGGCCCTCACAGTATTTCAAAAAGAAAAAGATGAATTAAACAAAAGAATCAACAAATTTGTTAACATTGTCTCTAATTTCGATGATAACGCTGTTCTCAAAACATTGTATCAACTTGGCAACATTATCTCTAATTTTATTTTATTTTTATTAGCCTCTGCCATGATTGCTTTTCCCCTGCTCTGAGCTTCTCTTGAGCTTATGACGCTTTTCCCTTTTTGTTTGACTGATTATATTTGTCTGATTCATGCAGACACTTGGAATAGAGCATGCTTTTTCTTCATTTATTTTGCTCTGCGGTCCAATAACTGGTTTGGTGGTAGGTGATGGGAATGATATTACATATAACTTTATATTGATCCCCTATTTGTTATTATGGAATCCTTTGGTAACGTGATATTTTAATGTGGTAACTTGTTACTCTGATATGTTTGAACTAACAAATAAAAGGTTGAGGCTGGCTTTCATGTATCCTAGGTCCATATAGAAGGGGGAGGATGAGAATCCAACCCCTGGGGATCTATCTATCTATATATCCTGAACTTGTGTGTGAAAATTAGAAAACAGGATATCTTAGTTATTAACTGGCTCTTGGCTATGGATTTTGCAGTGCAGAAATTGGTTTATTGACTATGGTTAAAAGAACTCAGAAAAACAAGGCATATCTGTATTTGTGATCTATTGGGCTGTGTACTTTGATCTTAGGTTCAACCTTGTGTTGGTGTTTGGAGTGATAAATGCACATCAAAGTATGGAAGGAGACGGCCTTTTATCCTTGCTGGATCACTCATGATCTCTGTTGCTGTAAGCATTGAAGTCTTACATGATTCATTCTTATATACTAGGTTTCTGTGTTTTATATCTGCTAAACTGAGTTTTGCATTAGGTGATAGTAATCGGGGTTTCTGCAGATGTTGGATACATTTTAGGTGATACAACAGATCATTGCTGGTATTCATTTCTGCTTTGATTTCTTCTCAGCTCTTATAGTCCCTCCCCCAATCTCCAAAAAAAAGAGGAAAAATTTGAATGATATTTTCCATATAATCTATGCAATGCAGTACATTCAAAGGTACACGAACAAGGGCGGCTTTTGTCTTTGTTATTGGATTCTGGATGTTGGATCTTGCCAACAATACAGTGCAGGTAAGCCTCCCATGGTGATTTGTTCTTCCTTTCAAGTTTGCCGTTGTATGTGTGTGTGGATAACGAATTTTCATTTTCTTAGGGACCAGCTTGTGCCCTTCTGGCAGATCTATCAGGTGAACTTATTTCTTAAGAAATACGGAGAATTTCCAGTCTGTACATGGTAACATTATGATGTTAGTTTTTATGCGTGCTTTAATACCATGCATGACAAAATGCTACATGACAGGTCCTGATCAACACAATTCTTCTAATGCTATATTTTGTTTATGGATGGCTGTTGGAAACATCTTGGGATTTTCAGCTGGTGCTAGTTGGAGTTGGCATAGGTAAAAAGATTTTCATCTGTTTTTTCTGTGATAAAATGAACAATTATGGAGACAAAAGTTATTTATTTCATCTTATACTGCATTTGATTATTGATCTAATTCTTATAAATGATATCGATACAGATGATTTCCTTTCTTGTAAAGTAGAGCTTGCTATGAAGCCTGTGCCAATCTTTAAGCAGCATTTCTTGTCTCTGTTGTAAGTAGCATTACACATTGAAGTTTCACAAGGATAGATCTTTCTAGGATGTTATAATGGTTCAGTACATTGTTTGTCAATTTATGGCTTGAATCATGCCGTGTTGCTTAGTTATGCTTATCGATTCTTTAGACAAAGTATGTTAAAATGAGCATGACATGTACTGTGAGTGAAACTATTGATCTGGAGTTCCATTATCTTTTTATGTGGTGGACCATTAGTTGCATCTATTACTATACTGCTGATTCAATGAGCTAGGAAAATCATTTATTGTCATCCTTATATTGTCCGGAGTTGACCTAGAAATAGTTTTTGCTTCTATAGTCTAAGATTCACAATGAAGTTGCAGTGTATATTCTCTAAAATATCTGTTTGTTTGAATGCCAATTTTGTGCATGTTGTGGTTGCACATGTTTCCTATCACTTAATCAATGCCATCCTGTATGTGTTAAAAAATTTGGCATTTGTGCAGGTATTTCTCTTATTTTGTACTGCTGTGACTATATCTTTTGCTAAGGAGGTTCCACTTCCACTGCCAGCAAATGAGTCAACTCGTTTATCAGATTCTGCTCCTTTGTTGGATGATTCCAGACAAAATGGCTTTGAACACTCGAAATTAAAACCTGATGTGTCCGCTGTTGCCAATTCTAACAGGAACAGTGCGGAAAATGTATATGAACGAGTGTCAAACTCCAGATATGCTAATTCAAAAGATACAGATGTTCAAAATGAAGTTTTTAGTGATGGGCCTGGAGCTGTATCGGTCAACTTATTGACTAGTTTAAGGCATTTACCGCCTGGAATGCACTCAGTTCTTGTTGTTAAGGCTCTCAGTTGGGTAAGTCTCAACAATTTGTTATCTACACTATTTGTTCTTTGAAAAATGAGAAATGGCCATGAGCCAATTGTTTGATGGTTGCCTTCAATTTCACTACCCTTTCCTTTCCCCCAGTGAGAAGGATAGCAGGAAGAGGGAAAGCAAAAATTAATTATTGTTGTGTTCATGTCTATTCGGGTCTTATTTGCAGCTTTCCTGGTTTCCATTTTTTTATTAGATACGGATTGGATGGGAAGAGAAGTATACCATGGTGATCCAAAAGGGAATGCTTCTGAAATAAAGTTGTATGATCAAGGTGTCAGAGAAGGTGCATTTGGTTTGCTATTAAATTCTATAAGAACTCAAAATTGAACACCAGTTGCTAGTCTTTAGTGTGTGTTTTTTTCTTTCACTTCATCTGTTGGCTTTATTGTAATATAATATTCCTTGAGGGATGTAGGTGATTAGATATCTTTTTTATTCATTTCAAAAAGCTGTCATATTTCCGTTGAATTTTGGTGTAGGTTGTTCTGGGTGTTAGTTCATTCTTTATTAAACCAATGTGTCAACGGATGGGGTCGAGACTTGTTTGGGCAATGAGTAACTATACTGTGTTTGCTTGTATGGCCCTTACAGCTATCATTAGTTTGGTATCTGTCAAAGAATGTTCTCAAGGGATTGAACATGCATTTGGAGGGAGTGCAGCAATCAGGAGTGCTGTCCTGGTTGTATTCAACCTTCTTGGCTTTCCTCTAGCTGTATGTATCAAATTACTTGGAGTAAATTTCTATAATCCTTCAGGTTTTGTTTGAAAATTTGATGCAATTTTTGCAAATTAATTTGTTTTTTCTTTCTTTCTTAAAGATTACCTATAGCGTTCCGTTTTCCATTACAGCAGAGTTGACTGCAGATTCTGGTGGTGGCCAAGGTTTATATATCAATTATCTTATCTAGTTCTGCTCTATACAGTTTCCAAATTGGAAAAAGGCTGTAACAACAGGTGTTTGTTCAGGATTGGCAATTGGAGCTTTGAACCTTGCAATTGTTGTTCCACATGTATAGAATATGATATGTTGGCATATATTATTTTTCTTTTTGTTATTTCTTAAGGTTTCTTGCTGTTTAAGGGTTTTTCTTTGTTCTTATGCTCTACCTAATCTTAGCTTCAAATATCTGGATATTTTGGGTGCTCTGTATTTAAATAAGCTCGTATTCTTTTGACATTTTGGGAAAAGAAGCAAAATATCGATTGTATTGTAAATTGAATGAAGATCTGGTATTGTGTGTTCTGAGTTAGTCATTTTAGTTAACACTGATTTTCAATGCATTATTGATTTCTTCAGATGATTGTATCTCTTGGTGCAGGTCCGTGGGACGCTCTATTTGGTGGGGGAAATATACCAGCCTTTATTTTGGCTTCCTTCTGTGCTCTGGCCGCCGGGGTTATTGCAACTCTTAGGCTGCCTGATCTGTCAAGTTCCTTCAAGTCATCTGTTTTTCATATTGGCTAAGGACTAAAATGGCCTTAATTAGGTGACAACCACTCTGTATATTATGCTTGGCAACCGTAAAATCACTGCCATTTTTTCCGGGGGATGGCTCTACCATCAATTGTACGTAAAAGTTTCAAATTAAAATCTGTTCATATTACATATACGGATTGATTCATTTCAGCACTTAGTGGGTACATGTACTTAAAGCGGAGTGTAAATTGCCAGTTACCATACTGAAAAGAATATACATGCATAGTTATTAGTTTCTTATTTACTAATGAAAGCTATATTTTCTGTTCTCACATTATAAAGATGGTTTCCTTTGTTCTTATTGTCTTGGTCATTTCCATATTGCTAGACTTGTAGCCTGGTAAAGTAATTAGAGGTCCCCGTTATCATCAATACTATGCCCGTTTATGACGTGGATGAAGATGATTTAGCAGCATATACATATGGCTTATTTGGTTATGTTCCTTTTATCTCTGAATTCTTGATTGCTTCTCTGTGTAGTCATGCCATTATTTGTTGAGCATCCGCTTGCTCTTGTGGACTAGATGTTGCTCTTCTTTTTGCTAAGTTGGCAGCATACGGCAGCCATTTAGGGGTTGGCATGTGATGATGTGCAGAGCTGAAACCGCTACCTAACAGAAACATCAGTCTTGATTCTGTAAAAGGTGGAAAGTCTTCTTCCTGATTTTATTTACCGGCCTTACAACACCTTGGAATCTGAGAATACCCTCGTATGTATAAAATTTCCTTGTCGTTATATATGTGTGGGTGTATATATTCAGAAGTATCTTTTTTCAGGATTCCTACGAGAACCGATGAGACATACTGTATCGCAAATACTTAATTTCTGGTACGAATAACTAGAAAATACATTTAGAACTTGATAATATTAGGATAAACTGTGCCTTGAAATTTGCTCACTCGTACTCCCAAAGGAATAAGGGGATTTAGAACAAGTTGCTTGGTTTTCTGGAAAATATACATAGATTTGTAAATGAGAAAGCTGCTCATTTTTTCTTGTAAGTTTGAGAAAGCCATATAAGCAAGCTGATTTTCTTATTTATTTATTGGGAATTATATTGTAATGTCTAAGAGTATGCCTAACACGAGTGTCATACAACTCATATTCAAATGGTGAATGCGATGCGTCATTACCATGCGAATGCTGAAATATTTTCATTGCTATGTGCTGCTAGCATTTTTATAAAGTAAACGAAGTAGTGTTTTGGTTTGTTTCCTTATATTGCTGAGGATGGTAGGGTAGTGGAAAGCATTTATTAATACTCGAAGTTTGCCTAACGAAGGTGACTGATTTCAGCTTAGAAATAACTCGTCGAATGCTACATTTCATGTTAAAGGGAGAGTTGTTCGGGTGTGACCAAAAAGGTGAGTTGGCTTTTCTTGTGCATAAATATCCTTTTTCTAGTGTAACCCGAAATTATTATTCTGTTGGGATGGTAGTTAAGGGTTGCATGCATAGATAAAAGGTAGTGTGACATGGTTGTAGTAATTTCGTGTCAAAATCATCTTCCAAAAATAATTAGGAATGGTATATACATCTGTATTTATATAGCTCTACATTCAAGTCTTAAATTATTTCAAGCAATAAAGAAAACCAAAATGCTAATAGATTCTTACTTTGAGAAGAGTTACATGTAAGGACCATAGATTTGCCGAACTTGTATATAGAAAAAGGTTCACCTGATTCTGATCAGCCTCATTATCCAACTATTAGAGAATTATTATATACTATAAAAATGAAAAACATGTTAGTTCTGGATCCAAGAAGCATACAGTTCAATGGAGGGTTGGCCAATTATAAATTTAGAAAATGAGGGGCTCAAGATTTTAGTTCTCTCTTTCTAAAAGGAAAATAGGTATACAAATTTTTTTATTTTTTCTCCTCCCCTAACATATTAAACTACTTTTACAAAATTTTCAAAAATAATAGAAACGTACTTGTTTCCTTTAAGAGATTTAATACATTCTCCGCTGGTTGCGATAGTAATAGGACAGCTTTGTTAGTGACGGATTTAAAAATAATTTTTTAAGATTGACACATATATATTAACAACATAATTTTTTTAAAACAGGGTGGTGCGTACAAAAAATATTTAAGGTGAACACCGTTAATAAAATAAGTAATTAATCAAAGAAAATTCAGATTTCATGGTGGATATAAAAAATTTCAAGCATTCAATAAAATAAATAACTAATTGAAAGAATATTGAATTTTAGGAGGACACGTAACCATCCTTATATTATTTTAGGTGGACAATATCAATAAAATGTTAATTTTTTTAACCAATTTTCGATTGAAAATCTGTTTTATAATATTTTCGGTTACCAATCGAAAATATTAAAAAAGTTAATATTTTAAGTTAACATCCAACTTAAAATGTGACAACTTTTATAATATTTTAGGTCGCACTTATTTCTCGTCGTTTTTTAACCTTAAATTAAAATATCGTACAACAAAACTATCCAAATCTATACCCCTTCCTTATCCCCTTTTTCATTCCCTTCTCATAAGCTTCTTTGCATCAAAATAATATATTTGTACAACCGATCATTGTAAAAAAAAATACAGCTTTCAAAAGATTTTTAAAGATAATATCTAATACATGTCTTTAAGTAAACCTAAATTCAAATTTTCTTCCGTTTAACATAATATTTTTCATACAACAAAAACAATCATACTTGAAAAAAAGTCTAAATCCATTGACAGATAGTAGGGCAAACATAACAGGAAAAAAGCAGTGAAATTCTGGGAGCGATAACATCAACTTTATTAAAGATGTCAAGATCAAACCGTTGACTCCAAACCTCGAGTCACTTAAAAGACCAAACGAAAATTTGACAGCCGTTTCCTCCTGTACGAATTTTTGAAGTGTCAGTTTGTGGCTGATCTTACTTCTTTAGGGGGCAATTTTAACGAAATATCAACATGACATGTAATAATTACTTATTAAGCACTTATTTTCTTAATTTTATCGATCTAACACCCTTTCTGACAATGCGCGGATAATTATTTGTGCCTTTACGAGATTTCATTTGAGCTTACGTCACATCATGAAAGGAGCAGATAGTCATCCATGCCAAATCTGAGCGCCACGTAATGATAGTCGCGGATCGCCATCTGCACCTTTCTAAATTTCTGACACACGTCAATAAGACGCCAATCACCATCCGCGCCTTCCATTAATACCCCAACCGTTCACACTTCTCCCATTTATGGGAAATCCGACTAACCCCATCCCCTGTTCCTATAAATACCCCTCCCCTCTTCATTCAAACATAAATCTAACACAAACATTCAAACCCTCTCAAACTCAAACCCTCTCAAAGCTCAAATTCTATTAAAAAGGTAAAATATTTTATTGTATTATAATTGTTAACATATCTTTTCGTCCGGATGCAACACTCTCAACAACCCCAATTTAATGGGATTCAAAAAATAAACATAACATTAGAGTTCTATTAGGATTCAAACTCCTAAAAATAGGATAGAGTTTTACTATGATTTAAACTCCTAAAAATATGATAGAATTTTACTATGATTCAAACTCCTAAAATAGGATCCATAAGCATTATAAATAGCCATTGTAACTAATTATTATAACACACAATTGATAGACGAAATACAAACAGAAAATTAAGAGTAATTAAAGCATTTTTTTTTGCAAAGTTTCGAAGGCATCAAAGGAAAAAAACCTTATTTTTTCGGTTGTTAGGCTTGTATGTGTCGTTTGTTTATTGCTTTCGATTTGTAAAACCACAAAAACTCGAAAGGTCGATGACCGGAGGGGATTTTTTCCGAAACTAACTTTTTAGATCTACAGAACCCCGAAGCTATTTTGTGAAAATCATTCGGACATTTGAAAAATGGAGAAGAAGAACTTTAAAAAATTTAATTTTTTATATTATAATTTTTTTCTTTACTATTATTATTATATATACTTCATTATTATTATTATATTTTATATGTTTTATTTTGTTTTATCTTTTTTTTTTATTTTTTAAAACATTTTATTTATATGCATATTTATTATATTTTTTTTTATCTTATTTTATTTTATTTTCCTACCACTATTATATTTTTTTCTCTCTATTATTTATCTATATGTATTACTATTATATATATATATACATTTTTTTCACTTATTTTGTATTTGTTGCAAATATTATATTTATTATTACATATATACATATATTTTATTTATTATTCTTATACCCTTCTATTTTTATTTTCTTTTATTACTCTTTACTTACTGTTTTTATTATTATTTATTATTATTATTATTCTATTCTATTTATTTCTATTTACCTTTTTTTTTATTTTTTCCTCTATTTCATTTTAATTTTTATTCCTTATCTTTATTTTTTATCTTCTTTATATTTGTTTTATTTTTTATTTTTTATTTACTTGTTTATTATGTATATATTATCATTCTTTTTCATTTTATTTTTCTTATCGTATTCATTTTTATCTTCACTCTTTTTTTATCCCTTTTTATCAATCGTTTTTTTTATTTTTTTTATTCTATTTATTTTTATTTTTTATCTAACACGTTTCTTGACTCTCTTAAGGTACACCTTTAAAACTATATAAGGTAAGTAATTGAGATCATATTTTTACCTTTAAATTTTAAATTACAATTTTCTTAATTTAAGACAACTAGAAATTGCGTAGTACCGAAAATGTGGTTCAAGGGTGCTAATCCTTCCTTGATCGTAACCGACTCTCGAACCCGACATATCTCTGGTAAAACGCAGATCATGTAAGATGGTGTCCGATCTACCTAAATATTATTTTAAAATGATCGGTGGCGACTCTAACATATTCTATTCAAGTCGAAGCCATATTCCGGGCCCAACCCGAAAGACGACCGTGACAGCTTGGCGACTCCGTTGGGGATAGGTAAGTGAGTCAGGCTAAGGTAATTTCCAGTTATCTTTTTAATGAAAATGGTAAGTTTAAATTTTAAGATAATTTTTCGATCATTATT